CAAATTATTTTGAGTTAAGAATTCGTAAAATTTTTCTTTTTAAATCTAAGATATTAAAATGTGATACAAGATTCCTTATAAGATTATCTACCTTTAACAAGAAATAAATGTCTATAAGAAGGTCAAATTAAATTTTTATGAGTGTGAAATTCAAATTTTTACAATGTTGGATATTCACTCGATTTCTCATGTAGCGATTTCCTTATTTTGTTGTAATTCGAAAACGAATAACTGTAGATACATGAAAATTTCACTGAATATTTATATTAGCTTTTCCTATACACCATACAATTTTGAAAATATTTTGACTCTTTTGAGCTGTTAACGGACATTTTAAGTTTTCAATTTTTTTAGTTTTTTTTTCTATAAATATCAATAAAGTTTTATCTGTTGGACCGAAAAGTGTAAAAATTTAATACAAGGCTCCTGATATATTGTTACAATATCAGTTGAAAAATATTAAAAATACATAGGCACAATTTTTTTTTATAAGCATTTAAAGATCGAATTGTGACAAAATGTAATAATTATTTTGTAGTTAAAAATGTATAAAATGTTCAACTTTTATATCTAAGGATGGAAAATGTAAAACAAGATTCCACGTAAGTAGTTTATTCTGCTACCAAAAAATCTAAGAAATACAGAAGGACAGTTTATTTTTATAGTAATTTTAAGTTCAAATTTGGACGAAATTACAAAATAAAAAACCTAGAATAACTATTTTAGTTATTTTGTTGTGATTGTATAATATTATTCGTGGGTACTTGAAACCTCTAAAGTACACTATTCTATATCTATGATAGTATCTGGGTTTGTTGTTGATGTATAATGCGTTATAACTTATAAGTACCTAATGGATATTGTGATATGATTAATTTAGAATTTATTATAGGTCAATTTTTTTTTAATACCATAGATAAGTATATAATATGTCTTATACCTTGACTGACATACCGTCTCCATTCAGAATCGTTTTTCTTATACAATGATATTATATCATTGAATTCAAATTTAATACCATAAATTATACAGTGAACCACTTGTAACCTACTGTATAGCAGAGCACTTTTTTTCAATATAAAGATCAATATTATTGTTTATTTTCTATAAATCTATTATGTGACAGAATAATTAATTTAAATTACCGAGCACCCTATCCCAACCAATAAATGTAATTAATATGTAATGTATAATTTATATATGGATATTGTATATTATACTAAATAATATGCATGAAATAGGACATAGGTACGATATACGTTCTATTTTTGCATGTTTTGTTAACACAGCATAATATTATGCACGTGAGTTTATTTTTTAAATAATATATGCATAGGTACTGCATATACGAATACATTATAAATTAGTGATTATTAACTATACCTATTACGAAATAATAAGTAACAGTCATAAGTTACACTTATTTACTATAATAATTGGTTTGATCGAGTGATAATTATTATAATATATATTATTATTATTCACATTAGGTCGAGTTATGACGATATTTCGACAATATAATATAATATCATACGGTTAATTACACGTGTAAATGCTATAATATGCCAGACACAACACACGATGTCACGATAATTAGTTTAAATTGTGATTAATTATTGTGCGATGACATCATGAACGCAAATGAAAAACATTAAACGAACGGTTTCTTAAAAATCTGAATTTTTTTTTTTACAACAGTAAGTACACCTACTAAGGTTATAATGCGATAAAACAGTTGTTTGCAATCTTTCAAAAACTAATATAGTGTGACTATAAGTAGATATTTGTATTCGCCTACTTTCGCTTCAGTTAGGTATGTACAGTGTTGTTGTTGTTGTTGTTGTTGTAGGTACTAATATGTCAGCTACTGCAGAGCTACATGTGAGTGATGACTGTATGCTCATAAATCGTATAATATAATATATTATTATGACCATAATGTAAAGGATAAAAAAACTACTCTTTAGTCTTTATTAAGTCGCATCAGTTAATGTTAATATAATAATTTATTATATCATATTTTATATCGCTCTGTAATATAATTACAGACTTGTAATAGCATGTGATATGCTGAAACATTTTAATTTTAATAAATAAAAAAAAAATATAAAAATATCTCCGAGAGTTAAATCGCATGAAAATTATTTACCTATTTAATAATTGTGCATTTTAGTTTTATTAGATTATTTTTAATTATAATAGCTTTATCAATAGCTGAAAAATTTATACTTCGATACTCTATATTATTATTATTATTACTGTGCAGTATTGCGGTATATACGAATGGCAAATACTTGAGGGTAAATGAAGAATTTTTCTTAGTCTTAAAACGAACAAGTAAACTGGCATAGGTAAAATAGTATAATATTAATTATTAAAATTATAAAATTCGAGGTCAAAACTCGGCAAGCCTACACAATTTTTGTCGAAACCAGTTAGTTAATGACTATATACCTGCATTTAAGGAATCAACACGAATTAATGGATCTTCTTTTTAAAGCTGCTCTGTATATATGTGGAGGAATTCGAATGTTGCATGCGTTAACCACATTGTCATTTGTCAGTGGCGATTACAGTATTGATTAATTTAATGCAATTTTCTAATCAAATTCAATTATGGGTAACGCATAAAAGATTCCGAATACAACTATAACAATAATATGATAGAATGTAGGTATGGTATTTAGAAAGGTAAACTCTGCCTAACATTTCATTAAATATTTTATACTTTTTTTTATTTGCGTGATTTCTATTGAACATTTTGTTGCGGTTTTTCTAGGAACATAATTATAATAAATTAATTTTTTTCGGCCAAGTTACAATAATTATTAGGTACACTTTTTTTTACAATAATTGAATAATGACTACAACCAATATTCTTTAGTAAATTGATTATTTACAAATACTTTGAACAAAATGTTAAGAAGGGTGGAGACGATCTTTTTTTTTAATGTAAATCATGTCACCCTTTATTTTATTTTGCCAATTCGAGCACTGGGTATATCGTATATTATTATAACACGCGTCTCGTCACTAAACAGGTATTTATTTATTATTTATTTTCATCGAATTAATGCCTACTGTCGGCTCAAGTACAGATTTATAACGAATTAACACAGGCATGATACCTAACATGACGTGTGATAAATAACAAACAGTGAAAATAATAATTAATTAACAATAACACCTATATGGCTATAAATAAAGGTATACAATATGATTTAAGTTGTTAACATGATATTATTAAGTATAAATCATAATAATATGATATTAACACAATAAGATAACTAATAATAATAATTATTATTTTAATTATTGATCAAAGGAAAAAAACAAAGCCACTTAAATCACCTTCGGTAAAAGACCGATCGACCCAGAGGACTTTGTCGACCAAAATTATATTATCGAGATGGATTGGAACACGGAATGTTGGACATGGTCGGGAGTTATAATTTTGTGTGCTACAGGGAAATAAATAAATGATTAGTGCATTATTAATCCGTAATATTAAGTATTATTAATCCGATTGCACTTTATCAGTCGTGAAACGATTATTATTAATATTATATTCTTCGAATCGAGTCGATTATTTATAGTTGAATAGTGCGATTGGAGATCAGAGGCACGTCATCACTTGACAGTCTTTTTCAAAAATAATAATCGATAACGATTTCGGGATTTCGAGACCCACACACGCGCCGATGCAGAAAATCGGCGTGAGATTTGACCCCTCACCCACCCACCCACAAGACCAGCAACACAAGAACGACCAAACGCAGCCGAGTGGACTGGACTTGGCCAGGGACGGATCCAGGGGGGGGGCTACGGGCCCAGGCCCCCCAGACATATTTTTTTATAAATATAAATATTATATTATATTAAATAACAAATAAACAAAATCTAAACTTCTATTCACATTGTAGCTAAATATAAATCAATAATTTATTCATCACATTGATTACCTATAAGTCTATTGTTATGACAACATTTTTAGTAAAGTATAATATGTTATCATAATTGTATTTGTGTTGTAAAAATATTGTTGCCCCCCACCCCCCAGATCTTTGCTCTGGATCCTTGCCTGGACTTGGCACTCACCCGCCATGTGGCAGTCACACATCATTGTTAATATTATTATTTCGAGTCGTGTCAAACGTATTTATTTCGGACGTCGTGCGCGAAAAACGATTTTCGTTGAAAATAAGAGCATTACATAATAATAATATTATATTATTAATATGACATCGGTTTTCACAGATCGATTCCAAAAAAAATCAACAACAACACTACCTATAATCGGTAGGTAGGGTCGAAAGAATTCGTTCACACACACACACACACACACACACACATGCGCGCGCACACCGGCATTCAAGTCCGTTGGGGTCCCGATTCCGGTTACCACCGCAGCCGCCGTTGTCACTAGGTATAATACCGAGCGATACTCGGTACTCACGCGGCACGGCGGCGGGTGGGGACGGTGTGACCCAAGGCATAAAAAAACCGAGTGGTCGTCGACGGACGGCCGGCTGTCGGACTGGCGGGTCGTCGGTTGCGGTGCGGTGCGGTGTGGGGGGAGCCGTCCCGAAACTGGGCCGACACGGGCGGCCAGCCGTCCGTCCGGTACCCACACACGCGCGCGCTCGCGGCGCACACACGCACCCGCACGAACACGCCGACAGACGGTACGTACGCGGCGGGACCAGAGCTCGCGCATGCGCACCGGCCGTTGCGCCGGCGACGGCAGCTGTTCCGCGTGCACACGACCGGGGCCGGGACCGAGCCGGCCAGCTCGATACCGCGCCGCGCCGTCGATGTGGGCCCCACGCGCGTGAACCAGTGCGAGGACGACCGCCGCCGTGTCGCGTTACGTACTGTTCTTCAGCGGTCTGGTGTCCGTGTGCTTGTGTGTGTGTGTGCGCGCGAGCGCGCGCCTTTCCGTCAGCGTCCTTTTTTTTGCCCGCGGGGCCCGTGAAAAAGCGCGCCAAAAACCGCCCGAAATGGACGTCAAGAAACGGTACATATGGTCCGACCGGGAGACCGAACACTTCATCAGACTCATCATTGACATGGGCATGACCAACATGCTGGACAGCAAGAGGTAACTTACTACAACAATGACAATCGGTATTGTTGTTGTTGCTCATATTGTATTGTCGGTGTCGTCGTTATTACTATATTTACCACAATATTAATATTATTAGCATTGTTCGTGTTGCGCGTGCGCAAGCGCAAAACGCGTCCCGAGAGCACCGAATTGGAAATTCGAACGTAACGGTGGTGTGTTCGGTGCGTACCGGTGGTGGTCGCGGTGTGCTGATCGGGGTGCTCCTCCGTTGGCTATGGGGGGGGGGGTTATCGAAGGGGTAGTCGAAAAAAAACCACTAAATTTAGGACTGTGCCACAGTTGTATAGGTAGGTAGGTAGGTGGTGTAGGTACATAATATTTTATATTTTACGATTCGGTGGCGCTGCGGTGATGAAACCGACCGTCGAGTTGGGCACGTCACGACAATATATTATTATTGTAATTCTTATTCCTACACGATCGTTATCCGTCGACAATATATTATGTTAATCAATCATGATTTATTATTATTGTACTACCAATGAGACATAATAGCACCGTATTGCTACTGTGCGATGAATTCAAACGACGTGGGCATACGTCGTCGAGAATTTGACGTCCCCTCCTCCAGTCACCCGTGTGTCTGTATGATAATATTGTACTGTTGGACTGCAGCAGCGTTTTCGATGTTCTGAGGTAAGAGTACCACTAGCGGCACACAGGTGGTACGAGAAGGAAATTGAATAAAACACCATTTGAATCGTTATTATTGTACGCAAGCTCTAAGGTTACCCTCGAGCCACTTCTGTTCTGTGTCTCGACAATTATCTGTGCTAAAATACGTTTAAAAAATTAAAATAGGGATAAATCGAACGTAGAAAACGATTTGACTTAAAGTCACCAACACTGGGCCCGATATGTACGTCCTCGTTCGTCGAAAACAACGCCGAATCTCTCGTTAACGCGTATGTTTGCAAACCATAGCCAAAAGATATTATTGTTTAATTTTATAACTTACTTTTGTGCAATAAAATCCTCACGTACTCTAATAGTTACTAATAGCATACATAGTACGTACCAATACGTTTTGGGTACCTTCTACGATATGAAAAGGTCGAAAACCACCTTATGGCTGCGTGTAAGTTGGACCATCGATATTTCCATTCACGTGTTTACGGATTATATGTATGTATATTTTTTTACACCAAATCGTTTTTAAACAATATCATAGCAATTATTATTGCAAAGTGTATCCGCAACAATTCGTAATAATATTATTACGACATTCTGCAGTGCGATACGAGGTTTTCGACAGATAAGCGATGGGATTTTAATGTGGAATACCTACCTAATCGATAGCTATAATTCGTATCGAATATTTTATTGCATATTAATACAACAGATTAATGTAGAAAACGTACTCATACGCATGCGGTGTGCCCTTTTATAATAATATTACAGTCGTAATGTGTACACCAATTATTATTACTATGATAATAATATTATATTGGTACGTTGCACTATACTATAAATACAATTTGAATATTCATTATTCAAATTTTACTCGTTTTCATGTCACTTGCCAATACATGAATGATGTAGGTACCTAAACCTCTGTTGTGACGTATCTATTGAATAAGCGGCGTATGACATTATCATATTATTATTATTATTATTGCTGTCGTGTTGAATATTATTATACTAACGTAACTCTCCGATTAGGTGCGGTGTTAATGCAACACCAATACACCATAATATTATAATAGAGAACGGATAACATCGAGATAAAATGTATAAATTATAATATTATAGGCCGGCGGAAAACACGCGAGTGACACGAAAACAATACCATTAATATACCCACACTGGTCACTGGTCAGTGGTCGCCGATTGATAATCGTTAAGGCGCTAAATGTCTTTACTAAAATATACTACCTAGGTAGGTACCTACTTTACCTATACGATTGAAAACTCGTGTATTAATCTGGAGGTTGATTTCAAATAATTCATATAATATTACCGTCGATATTTTTATTTAAATTAATATAACATATAGGATTATATTGGATAAAACTGTAGCCTACAGGTTACTCTGACGTCTGACTTCATTGGAAATCGAGGGGTTTAAATACAATATTATCGTTACTTACCTATTTTTGTTTTTTGGTAACATAGCAGTGCATTTTTATCATAGTCCGGTGTTATCATTCAACGATATCGATTAAAATTTTAAATTTTTCGAACTAGGTAGTAATTTAATAATAATTGGCAAATAGACAAATGATGTTAAAATGTAGGTAATAAATAATACTTAAATAGGTACCTATTAATATTATATTGATTCACCTTATGAATAATAGATCGGTACACATTACATAAAAGAGCACTTGCCAGAGTTGTCATAAGAACCATCTTCCTTGGAACGTGGTACGCACATCTGTGTTGCACCATAATATTTATTTTATTGAATTCACTAATGTTCGTGATACTATATAATGAATATATGAATTAATAATAATAATTTACATTAAACAAATTGGCACTTGACGTTATTATGTACTTTTACCGTTCACATGTTTCCTTTTGTAAATTATATTATTATATATTAATATATGGCAAGTGACATTTAAATATTTTGTATTTCTTTATTTTTTGAAATATTGTCTTACAAGCAACGGGACGATTAAAAGTGAATAATCTGAAATATAGTTAAAACAATGTTCGGAGTTGATTAAGTTATTAGCACTCTGTGTTGAAAGAGAACCTTCGGAAACAGTAGTTAGCAATAGCCATATACATAGCCACATAGGCTATCAGTAGTCTGCAGTAATATGTAAATTCGCGATTCTCACATAGTGACCATTATAGAATCAATTTGCACTTATGTATTTGAACCTTGGACCTATACGATTTTATAAATCATCTGCACCTATATTATGCTATAACCAATAGAATTTATAAGTTTTAATTACGCATATGAACAAGTTATACTAAAAAAAAATTAGGATCTAAAGATTTACCCTTAATGTACCCCCTAATTAGTATTGAGAAATCCAAAGCCTGTTGTTTTAAATACAAATTATAAGTACCCATGATACGTTTGTTATGCCAGTATTACTTTATGATGCAATATTATTGTCACGGTAAAACATATATTATGGTACCTATAAGCTATAAAGTTAAACATATTAGGTTATTGGCGATAAAAGTTAAGAATTAACTATCCAGGTACCGATTTGGTCAAATATGGTGATGATCACCGTTAAATATTAAATAAATTTCAATAATTTATCAAACTTCAATACATATATAATATCAACATTAATGTATTATATTACGTGGTATACACAAATCGAACGCTGAAATCTTCGACCGGTACTTCGATGACGGAATCCACGATTTGATTTCCGGTATCCTGGTAACATAATTTCGATGCTAATATACCAGTGTAATATACCAATACGTATGTATTTTATACGAAGATCAGTGGGTACGACGGATTATGCATGTGTGTTCGAGATTACCGGATTACATAATGGGCAAAGAGCGGGCAGGTATAAAAGCTATCATTCAGTATTCCGACGATTATTTGACGTAATGTAGTGAACACCCAAACACGAATGTCGGTAATTTGATACCACATTCTCTGGGCGGTTTCATGTACTTGTATATTATATTCTTCCGACACCGTATATTACCATATAATCCGTCGTTAAGTATAGGATAGTTGGTACTTGCAGTGCGCGGATGGTTTCCGAACATACTAATAATGTTAAATGAGTACGATGTCATATCAGAGCAGGTAGATCAGTTAATATGTACCTAGGTATAATGCATGACGTTACTACGGTTACGCAATCCAAACTCAGTTTTCCCAACACCTGTTGCTATATAGTATACGATGGCCAACACAACAATGTACTGTGATAATATTATGTGATATACGACACAGGCGCATAGGTTAGGTTTTTACATATTATATGTACCTGGCCGAGGCATTTGCACAAAACCCCGTGAAAGAAGACGACCCCATGATATTATTATGATAAACCATGACATATAGGTACCTGTAAATTATGTATACTATTAGACTAGTGTACTAGGTACGTGTTTTAAAAATCGTGGTCAGTCGATATAGTAACTATAGGGTAGGTACAGCAGATAGTCGAAACGGGTTCATATTTCCAGGGTTTAGGGTAACGGGGTTGAACCTGGTTACATTATATTAATTTATAGAGTTTCGGTTACGGTTTAAAACTTTGTTACATTACATATTATGTAATAGCACACGTAAGTACCTATTGACCGAGGCATTTGCAGGTAAACCCGTAAAAGAAGATGACCATGATATTATGATAAACCATGACCTATACACATAAATGATGTATGATTAAACCCGCAGTGTAATAATTAGGTATATGTTTAAATATTGTAGTTAATCAATATGATTACCTATATCAAATTATGCTCAGCAGAGAGCTTAAATTGATTCACGGTTATTAAAATTTACGTAAATTGCACGTAAATTTTTCCCGGGTTTCGGGTAACACGGTTTAACCTGGTGATATGTTATATTATTTTATCGAGTTTTGCGTTAACGATTTAAAACTTCGTTTTATTTTTATACTTCCGGTTTTAGTTTTTGTGGACTTACAATGGATATATGTTATGGTTGTTGTTTCTCAATTCTTGGGTACATTCCAATAACAATCGAGCATTAGGTACAACAAAGGCAGGGGCCATTTTTCAGAAATTTTTTTAAAATTTAGGGTACGAAATTTGGATTATTCAAGTTTCGCGGTTATTGGATACAAATATAATTTGACATAATCTACCTATTGTTAATTGTTTTAGGGTTTTTTACCTATTCTTCGTATAGAATTAATATCTAGAATTAGATTAATATTTAATAGTTTGTTTATAAAGTATTTAAAAATTATAATTAACTACAGAATTGTGCTGTTATTAAATTTTTAAACATTTTTGATTTGTATGATTTGTATAATATGTAAATTAATTGTAACATTTACTAACAATAACGCTATGAAAGAAAAACAACTGTTATAAACAAAAGAATACATTTAAAAACATGATGTTTTCAAGTATCCATTATAATTTAGTGATAATTGGATTGATGTTGAATAATATTGTAAAAATTACGAATCCTTGATTTTTTAGTGAACTTAATAATTAATATTATATTCAGAGTATTTTGAAAAATATATAAATTATCTTTATAATCCGCCAATTAATTTTAAATTATAGTCAATCATAAATATTATCTGAATAGTATTTTATTAGGCATATTAATCCCCGGAAAAAGCTGCACTACAGTTGATACAGAGCATAATATTATGATGAGTATAGAGCTTATATAGTATTATTTATAAACAATAATCCAAATTAAATTTACATATTTACATATTATATTGAACCAATATAATACTATTTTTAGATGATAATATTATGTAGATAGTATATTGTATATTTCGTTTATTTATTCATTTTAAATGAAACCTATTTCAATCGGATAATATTATACTATTTACTTGATTTATATTCTTGGACATTATTTCGTATTGATTATTTAACTAAATATTATAATATCAGCTACCTATACACGTCATAGATCGGTTGAAAAATGATTTTGGCCACCGTGTAACAATCGTGTTCTATTTACTTAGAGGAAATACTTTAAAGATAATATTACGGCTTTTAAAGTAACTAAGTACCTATGTGTAACATATTATTATTAAATTGTATTTAGTATAATGTGCTATGATAAGTACGCGTAATTTCAACAGTTTAATATATTTTTTAAAGGAATAGGCACACTATACTATTGACTTTATAAATTACATTTATAATGGGTTGAATGAAATAGATAACTATTATTATATAACAGCAAATTGATTTTAACTGTATTGATTAAAAATTACCTACCATACAATTAATGTCAAATGCATACACGTATGCGAAACTTAAAGTTCAGAAAGTTGTTATTTTTTTCATAGATTATGAATACGATCGGCCAAAGTGCCTAATTGGAAAAATTTTACTTATTATAGGTATACCTAAGTGAACGAAAATCCATTATTACTGTTATCTGCAGACTGTATAGGTATGTGTATTGTTGACTTGACATATTATACAAGTACCTATCTGCCTATATATATTATAAAAATTAAAATCAAATTATTATTGCATGGGGTCTTTTAATAATTTAATAAATATATTCACAAAATATACATAGTATAAATTGTAGTAAATAATAATATGTAGAAAATTTAGAATCGTATAGTAGGTAAACCTATAAATTATATTTTTTTTAAACACCAAAAGAGACTATGTAAAAGAAAAACCAGACAGGATGTCAGTCACCCAGTGTGGGTTTAAATGCAGTACAAACGTAAGTAAATCGTAATCAACCATACAAGCAAGGCATGGATAAAACCTTATTCCCTGACATTTTTCACAGAGTGTCTGTATGTACATATAGTTTTGTCTTATAATTATATACTAAGAATTTAAAAAAAAAAAACACCAATTACCTACACTCAATTTCCAAGAAATATCCGTAAAAAGGAAAAAAGTCGAAATAAAAAATAATGTGAAACCGATAAATTCTTAATAATTTCTACCTCGTCGAGACTCGTTGAGACACAATGCCTATACATTTTTAAAAAAAACACCCAAAACCTATACAGTGAGTTAATGTGTGTCTATATAGACGTTTCGGAACAGCTCAATTTGTATAGAGGGAACTCTATAGATAATAATATTATTATCGTAATAACGCATAAATTGTATCAACTCACGATCAACTAATTAATGATCACGTCATACTGAATAATGTATATAACAAACGCATATATTTTATGGGTAATTAATTTAATATCTTCAGACTTTGACCTCAGCTTACCGTCGTGTATAATATTAATATGACGTGGTCCCGCTGCGATTCACTCATTTGTTGAAAACTTTCTTGACGGAATGTTTGCAATATATAAAACATAATTATGGTTATTCTGAATATAGGCGATCAAGAAATAAATTCGTGTTGATAGTATAACTAACAGAAGATAGTTGTCGCACATACAGTCACAGTTTTATGTTAAGCTTAAAATAAAAAAAAAATAGAAATAAGCAAATAGATTGCAAAATTTGTATTTCCTCATGTTTGAGAGATTACGAAACATTTAATACAAGCGCTCGGTAGAAATAATAATATACCTGAGTACCAATAATAATTTGTGTTCTATAAATTAACTAGAACACATTAACAATATTTTCATATTATATATCTTCCCCCTCTTTGATTTTTAGTATCTACCTACCTATGTTATTATTTTTTAGTGTATTATATATATTATTATCTCATTATCTGTATAATAATATATAATATGTTGTGTCTCGTAATAAATATTTTACACGCCAGCTCTAATTGGTTGTTTGCGAGACGATTATTACGTATATATATAGATAAGTAGGTAGGTATTACTGCAGATTGTTGTTCAAACTGCAGTTGATAAAAGTAAAATGCACGGCAGATGTACACTGCAGTACACTTTATTCATAACTTTTCTGACAAAATTTGGCTGCGCAATAAAATATATCAAAATAAAATGGCCAATATTATTTTTTTAAGTATATTATAGTGTCTTCTTGCCTTATTTTCTGCCGTTTCAGCCGCTGTAAGCGCTTTCCATTTCTCGTGTGTTTTGCACGGTTTGTTATTTTCGAGTCCGGACCGGATGTACAGTTATAATCTGAGCTCGTTCGAGCAAGACAGGCATATTTTTTTTGTTCGTTTTACTCGTACTCAGACCGGACAAGACTACATTTTTCTACAAAACCGGGAGGAACTCGTCGTAAATCTCTTACATAGGTAGTAGACTATACAATGTTCTCATTTCTGGTTTTAAACACGTTTTAAATCAAATTTGTGTAAGGCATCTTCGTGTATACCTACACCTACTGATAATCTTATAAAAATAAATAAATGTATGAGTTTTATGTCAAACCATGTAATAGGTAGATATAGGTACATTTTGTATTATTCAATTAATCAAAATATTTTGCCGGTATATGAATTAAAAATAAATAAAACCAATTAACCCGAAGTCAACTGCACAAATTTAATTTTCCTTTGAATATCGATAATCATTAGTACAATATATTATGAAGTAGAGATAAACGAGAATACATGATAAATTTGGTACAGTTGAAGACGTTTCATTCTATTTCTATATTAGATTATATAAATATAGGCACAAATCTCGGTGTATTGAATACTGTTGGGTTTATTTTTAGTAGGATCTGAATACTCGAAATAGGTACTTGATCAAAACGCTGCTTTTTGAAAATTTGTTTGCATTTACAACATTTGGAAGACACCTATTTGTGACCAGACTGCAGTTTCAATATTTACTCGTGAAAGCAATACTGCAATAGGTAACCAATAACCTCCTATATATGACTTCATAAAGTGAAAGTGTTATTGCTATTGGTATTTAAGGGAAAGTCGATGATTGAGGCTGTTAAAACTGTTTTATGTTTTAAAAGTTGTTTGACAATATGCAAATTTGTACTCAAAAAACATAATTTGGCATGAGATTTTATGTGTAGGCCCGAATTTAAAAGACAAAATCCAGTTTTTTTAAATTTTATAAGCCATCATTTAAATTTAAAAAAAAAACTGTTTTTGAATTATTTTTTAAGCCTTATATCTCGCCATAGTTAAATGGAATGTCACAATTCTATATTTGCCATGCACCTTCTAAACTCAAAAATATAGTTAATTTCACCATATTTAAATGGCGACGGTTTGATAAATAAAATAATATGAGTACCTCACATTCAAGAATATTAATACGTTCAAAAAAAATATAGTACTGACCAACTTGGACGAATTTAAAACAGACTACATTACGATAGTATAAAGTGTGCCTATATAGTGTTATGGTTCCGGATATGATGCCTGTTATGCAGATAATTTGCATATATTCAATACCTATAGTTACACAGTTAACGTCCAAATAAATTACGTAGATACTTACCTAGCACGTGTATTAAATCATTTCTTTTATCATATTATATCCATGCACCTATACATTTGTTTAATCAAATAAACTATTTCTAAGAATTAAGAATTTTATTAATGAAAACGCGAAAAATATTTTATTACCTAAATGATTAGGTGAATTATATTTTATTGCGTTACACACCTACATCAAACACAATGTCTGATAATAATTACACATCCATTATAATACATGAAACTATATGAATACAGTTTATTGGTTAATGAGATTAATCATACAGTAGGTATATCAAATAATATAGGTAATGAAAGTAACGATTAAATAAATATACGTATATACGTACACCATGTATATACAATGATGTTAATCAGAAATTAAATGCACGGTAAATCCAATAAAACGGTTTAGTTCCCAAAATTACTGACAAAATAAGAGCAGTGAAACCTGTCTCAACGGACACTGCTTGTATAATCCTACAGGTTTCACCGCAACAATTTTTTTTTAAAACACGGTATTATATTCAATTATCTCCATCTTAATAAATATGTTAAAAAATTGCTATTGCCGGGTATTGATCATTTGTAGTACTTGATATCTATGAGATTTTTAACCTAAGAAATCTATACATAAACATTTCAAACTATAATGGGCGTTTTATTTATTGTTCAGGAAAAGGAATTCGGATCTTTATTCCAGTCTGGTCGAACCAATGGCAGCTGCTGGTTTCAATAGAGACGCGACGCAACTGAGGACCAAGTGGAAACACTTGAAACAAGATTACAAATTAGAGTTGGTGAGAATTGATAAGAATGGTGCGGCGAGTTCAAGGATGTCGTACTTTCATTTGCTCCACGAAGTATTGAGTTGCAAACCAAGCAATGCCATGACGTACCTCTGTGAAGTTGTTTCGAGTAAGTTTTAATAAATGAATTAATATGCCGGTATTAGGTATTTTGTTCTCTGACGTTTAGTGAAATATAATTTCATGGTTTGAGTTTTGCTCCCCTCGACAGCCACTACGAGCTGTCACTGCGTATCTCCACAAAATGGAAGAAAATTTGTTAAATGCAAAGAGTGTTTAAAAAATGTATTGTACTCTTATACGTTCAATTAGACTGCTGGGGTTTCAATAAAAAATGCAAAATAATTTATCGATTTGTTACATTATAAATTATTCTGTAGTTATGCCCAAATAACATAAACCTTTATTTTTCGTTCAAGCATCTGTATGGGTAACACTCTATAAACTATTACTATATACAATAAAATATAGAAATCTAAATAATTAGACGTAGGTACCTATAATTGGGTATTATATTATCAGTGGGTATAATATTATACTGGTGCTTGTTAGTTCAATTCTTTTCATTTTCAAACACTAATGTTTTTATTTATTATGAAATCTTTAAATTATGTATATATACCTAGAGTATATTTTTGGTTGGAAAGATTTATTATAAATCATAATTTAATATAATGTTTGAAGGTCTCCCGAAAAGAGTTGAATATCGAGTAACCTAAATGAACTCGCGCACATATCGACTAATGAACTGCTCGTGCCATATAGGTTAGGGATACATACGTACCGATATCAAATACTTATAATATATCTGTAATTATTAATGTGTGTCTATAGTCAATACATATATAGTTAATGTATCTACAGCTGACGGTTTTATGTCTTGTCGTACAGATTCTCCTCCCCGGCTCGACACCTCAGAAAGCATCAAGACTGAATACTTAGACGACATTAAAATGGAAACGGACTTCTACAGAGTGACCGAACCGCAGGTGGACATCATCCAGTCGTGCGACGTGCAAACCCAGACGGAAGGCACTCCGGAACAGCACCTACTTCAAAAGCTGCACGCCCTGGAGAACAGCATCAACGTCCTGAGGGAGGACTGGCGGCGAGATCGGGAGATGCAAAACGTGCTGATGGAAAAGCACGCGAGGAGGATGTTGGAGCACCAGAAGACGTTGATGGACAATTTCTTCGCCAAGACCAAATCGCACACGTTGAGAACCAAAAATAAAGACTGAAGCGGTTCGCGTGTAGTTCGATGAGTCACTGCAGCAGCACCTCCCCTGCAACTGCAGCTTCGACTCTATCGAAACCCCGCGATTCTTCGATTTCTTTTAAGGACATATTATTATTATTATTTTCAAACTCGTATGCTATCGTTTTTGATGATACGTACCTATATATATTTATAATTCCCCACTGTATGTTTATGTATTCACGTTAATGTTTTTAGCATGTGTAAATATACGTTTGTACCAAATTTAAAACTATATATTATTGTAATGTCGTATAATAATAGTAATAATAACAATTATAAGACAGTTCATATATAGCTCGGTATGTAAATAATATTATATAATAATAACTATTATCACTGGGCTAAATAAAAAATTTTAATCGTGTCGTGTATATACCTGTATTGTAATATTATTATTAAGCGTCACCAGCGGCCATCAGTGCCATTTCTAAATTCTCGACCGTTGATGCTGCTGCAGCTACTAAACTTCCGAAGTCACACCCACGTGTGGTGTTTCCAAACACACGACGTACAAAGAATTAACGATTGCGTTTGGCAGTTTGTGTTGTATATTACAGCCGCAGTGAAATTGATCCATATCAAAGGTAAGACTACAGCCTTGTCTTCTCGTAGTGGGTTTTTTAGGATTTCTTAATAATTAAGAACAATTATTGTTGAACAATAGTTACTACGATTAAATCATAATATATTACGAAATTTTAACATATTTCACACATTTATAACTTGCTTAAAAAATGTGTTGAACCAATGATTATATTTAGAACTATAGTGTATAATCAATACGACGGTTGCACGCAGCTGCAGCTAACACAGATTTTCTATACATCATAATAATATGTCGTACGGGTTCGTAAGTTGGAGACCACGACTGCACTGTGCCTGCTTTATCCGTCCTCCTTAAGCCGTAACTATAAAATATAATAATAATAATAATAACATTGTGTGGATGTCTTAGCGTAGTACTTTTAACCGCCGACGCCTCGTCACGCGCAATGTCCACGACGATGCTGCTGGCGTCAGTACAATATTTTTAGCATCTCGAGTTAATCGCGAATGACGCCCGACTCTCCACGAAATCGGTTGCATGTGACACACGTCCCGAACGAAAATAGAGTAGACAAAAAGTTCCGATATTACTGCTGCAGCAGGTGAGAGTTGTCTCCAAGTTATGGGGACATCAAGTATTACACGACCAATCGTAATATTATTATGTCAACAGTAGTATTGCGTCCTAAACAAAACGGAAATATTTCACACCAAATGAGCCGTCAACAGCTGGCTCTTGTGTGTACTGCAACAATACAGAAACTGAATTAGTAAAATATGTAATGCTTACTAAAGTCTAAACAATTTGGAGTTGGATTTTAGTTGAAATTTACCATAATTTATGTCGCTACAATAATACCAGTTTTTATTCTAAATTAAATAATTTAAACGATTTTTGATAGCTTCTCGGGTTAGTATGAGTACGCACGAGGTGTAGGTCTGAATGTGTTACGTGTGCAATAACTTTGCAACGTTTGACGATTTGCTTGGACGCCAAATTCCGTTCTCGTCAGTATTATTTGGTAGTACCTAATACCTATATAATTATAACTTATAACTGCTGTGAAAACGAATGCACAAAATATTTAATATTATATTTCGCAAAATAATATATATTTATAATAATGAACATTATAGCTTCGGCAGCAGGGGTCATTAACCTTATACATTATATTTTTGTTTTGGCTTACAATTTGGTTACAATAATTTAGGAGGACTTTATGACATAACTATTTAACTCTTAAATTTATTTCTCCATTCCGATAGTCCTGAGGAAGACGTGACGTTTTCTGGCTGACAGTCGAGTCCGATTATTTTATATATAGTTTCGTTGGTATATTATGTTTTTGTCTTTCTTCTTCATTTGATCTGAGTTCTGTCATCAGTTGTTTTACTGTAAAGATAACTCCGAATGAGGTGCATTCCGTTAGTGATTGGTTTTTCATGAGGTGTCCGTGTGTGAGGTGGGTGTGACCGATTCTCAGTAGGTTTATTATTATTTCCGTTTTAAATTGTGGTCAACTAGGGATTTATGTTTTGTTTTATTTGTAGGTAGTACTTTATTACTTGGGTTCCGCCAGTGATTTTGACAAATATTCTGTGTGATTAATAATTGTATGTGTCTTTTTTTGTGTCTAAATATATTGACCATTGTACTGTATTTTTGTTTGATACTGTTGAATTTTTTGCGTGTTGATCGGCTAACTCGTTTTCGTGTATTTTGCCATGTCCTGGTGTCCAAATTAATTGGATATTCTTGTTTTGATGTTTTTAATTGTCGACTATTGATTTATGGTATTGGTAGTAATGTCATTGGTTTGGAATATATGTTGGATGCTGTTGATGGTACTATTAGAAGGTCGGTGAAATATTGTAGCTCTGGTGTGGATCATTTTCAATATGTTTAAGAGATAATATCAGGGCGATGGCTTTGGCGGTATAGATTGAATATTTCTTCTTCTTTATTTGTTCACTTTTAGAAACGTCGGTATTTGTTCGCCTTGTTCTAAAAAATTATTTTTGAGATCGTATAATAGGTTTTTGAAAATGTCAGGAGAAGTTTCTTTTTTGTTTGCTGCAAGTTCCATGTTTATGTTTATTTTAAAAGACTATATATTTTTGTTTCATTTTAAAATACATACAAAATAGGCAGTAAAAGAAAAGTCCCCAAAAGCAATGCTTGGGACCTAGTCTTAAGTTATAAGTTATAAGATGTTCACAATATATATAAAAACTATATTATATGAATGATAATATTAGTTAGATACTAATCAAGTATTAATGAATTCGAATTTCATAATATGAAATCAAAAGAAAATACCAAAAAAAAAATGTAAAAAACACAAATATACTTTTCTGTAATCAGGTGTTTAATTGTTTGTTTAATAGTTTTTTATACAACGTGTACCTATGATTTAAAAATAAATATTATATTGATAATTAAAGAAATGCATGGTTTAATACTTATACTTATATGATAGTAAGGATTTTTATTTCAAATCTTAAATGAAAGCTTTCAGAAAATTGTAGGTAGTTACCTATATTTCGCACATTTTTGCCGGGTTTTTGCAATTTTATACTGTCATATCATTATATGTTGTTATTATTATTTAAGCAATATTTTATCATACGGATTATTACGTCGGCCGTGCTGTACCACCTACCTATACCTTGGTATGTAATATATATTATTTCAAATCGATATCGAATCGCGGATAAAATAATAATATACAAACGAGTCGCGTACGACGGCGACTGACAGCTGCTCTTGTCGTGCCGCCTCTCAATCCCGCGAGATGTGTCACGCCAATAAGGCATATCGTTATTATATATACACACAAAGTGCATATACATATATAATATTACTTATTATATGTATATGTCGTCAACGTGTACACCTCTCGCCCTGCAGCCGCCGAAATGACTCGCTTATATTGTTTGTGAGAGCGTATGCATTGTGATATATACATAAATTGACTCTGTACCGTACGAGTATATAATATTGTTATGTATATACGCGAGTACTTATATAACGTATATATATATTATATACTTTGTAGATACGCGTGTGTGCCCTCGCCGCCGCCTCCTCGATGGGGTGACCGCCGCCGTCATCTGTTGAACAGTAGGCCGACGGGGGAGGGGCACTCGGAACACGAATTTGAATACGAGCGAGGGCCACCGGTAAAATTACTTTACATATATATATACTCACCATTATTATGTTCAACACACTCTACCACCATATATATATATATATGTATATATTACACATACGTAATAATATTCGCTTCGGGCTCACGTTGTATATATTATTGCTCTGTGGGCGATCGAAAATACTATATACCTATATGATGTATAATAATCTTGTTGGTATATACGTTATAACTTATAATATAACACTGTGGTAGGTATATCTATAATATTATGTACTGGCGGTGAAGATTGTGGTGGCCGACAAATGACTTATATCCTGGTCGGGTTACCGGGAAACGATAAAATATAATATACCCAGAGTGTTATCTACCTGCACTCAGGCTCACCTGAGTACGTGTGGATGTCGACGACAAAGACGATTATTGTTATTTTGTAGGTATACGGAACGTCGATCGGAGAAAACTACGACGTGGTGGCCACAGGAGCAATTACAGTTCAGGCTAATGACCTCAACAGTCGAAGCCTTTGTTCTCAAAAAGGGAGGGGGACTCTAAACAGTCCCATTGAGAGGCCTTATTATACCTTTGCATCAAACTTTAAGTTAAGAACATTATTCGTGTATGTACGTTGGATTTTTAATATTTCAATTTTTCAGTGATATGATGACATTGAATTGTAATACATTACATAACTTACACACCTGTAATATTAAAATATCTTAAAAATAAATATTTTGTCCTAAAGTACAACTATACGTGAAATTACTCTAATCTCAAGACTAATTAAAACGAAAGATTGGCTCTGCTTAACTCGAATGTGTTGAATATATAGTGTTATCGTATATAGATAGAAAACTAATTTTGCGCTGGCAGATCCTCTTAATCATTGTTATACATTTTTAATCGCAAATATAAATTGGTTAACAGATAACCACAATATGTCTGGTTTACAGCAGCTGTGGTTACAGTCGGTTAAGTTTTAGTGAAGTTCAGGAAAAAACAGTTTTATAAATTATATTTTAAAAACTACCTATCAGGTGATAATATTACAAGCGACTAAATTTGTTACAAACACCTAAGGGCGGGCAGAGTCCCCCTCTGTCCAACCCTCCCCCACCCATTATGGTGCTAATGGTGCAGGTGGTGGTGCTCGTGCGTTCGATGGTGTTATTATTATAATATATAGTCGTATGTAATACTATAATGACTGGATTGCATAGATCGTGATCGTAACTATATACACATTTTCTTGCAGTGCACAGTTTTATTGTCACAAAAT